CAAAGACACGCCGCGTTGATAATACTCTACATTCCAGTCCGGAGTGACATCAACAACCCTCCAGGAATTAGAGCTATGATGGTAGATTTCGAACCCGATCGTAAACGTGTTTTTCGAAAGTGAGGTAGCCATCTATAAACCTCAAGATTTTGTGGTGTACGGTGTCTTGTGCATATCCAAGAGCATACCTGTCTAGTCTGTGGAAATTGTTTCTGGGTTACTTGTATCCATCTCGTTTGTCGCAAATAAGGATTCCATACGACAAGTCTTGTGCTGTCTTTCATGACGCATAACAATAAGCCGTCACAGTGAAAGACTTTAGATACCTCGATCTGATTAGTACACTTACTTGATTTATAGATGGATCAACGAAATCTCCTTCGTTGTCGTTGGGGTTCCTTGGAGTAATGAACCCCAACAGAAATAAGGTTTTTAGCTTTCACCGGTGTGATTCAATGGTCGAGTGAATTTCCAACCAAGGCTGAGTGTTTAAACAACATCAATCAATTTCTTAACAAATAATTTACATAACTCTCGCATATTGCGAATCACACAATCATTACTACCCAATCACGAGTCACTCTTCAGGTGATAAACTCCAACCCTAAATGTGTAGAACTTTGAACTCTCAAAGTGTTTAAGGATCGGACAACACAGATTTTACTCTGTTTTGTCTTACCTCTCTGTTTTGTATAACGTAAAACCACACACTTTTATTAGATATATAAACTGTATTTATAGTTTTACATGACACACTTTGACTAAGGGACACGTCTCTACAAGACAACCCAATGTGGAGACACATACATACACGTGTAACTGTTTTGCAGTTAACAATTCTATTCGTATCTCTTCGGTGTGTAATACGAATAGTTTATACATAACAAAACTCAGTTACTTAACTCTATAATATAAGACTCTAAATAAAACTACCATGAAGACTTGATCACGACCAACACTCCTCCTTGATCATGGCTTCATCTTCACGCCTAGCTCTTCTCGTAGAGACTCAAACCTTAACGTGTTTAACGGTTTGGTTAAGATATCAGCGACTTGAAACTCTCCTGGACAATGTTCAAGCTTGATTTTTCCTTCTTGCTCAGCTTCTCTTACGAAATGATACTTGATGTCGATGTGCTTTGTTCGACGATGTTGAACTGGATTCTTTCCTATAGCAATTGCAGATTTGTTATCACATAGAATCCTTGTAGCTTTTTCAGTCTTGAATCCGATTTCATTCACTAGCCTTTGTAGCCATATGGCTTGATTTGCTGCAGAACAAATCGCAATGTACTCGGCCTCAGCCGTTGATTGAGCAACCGTCTTCTGCTTGCTTGAGTTCCAACAGCATGCCCCAGATCCAATCATAAAGACATAGCCGCTTGTACTCTTCTTGTCTTCCACTGAACCACCCCAATCACTATCGGAGAATCCCACCAACTCTGGTTCTTCTACTCGCTTGAACTGAATGCCATAGTTCAAAGTACCTTTAACATACCTTAGAACTCGCTTGGCTTCTTGGTAATGTTGCATCGTTGGAGCAGCCATGTAACGAGACAGGTATGAACTTGCATACATGATGTCTGGCCGTGAAGCACAAAGATATAGCAAACCTTCGATTATGCTTCTATACTTTGTAACATCTTCAAGGTTCTCCTTTAAGACTTCCTTCTTCTTTCCATGAGGAGTTAATGGTGTTGACAGACTTTTGCAGTCTTGCATTCCAAATTTCTTCAAGAGCTTCTTTGCATAATTTTCTTGTGACAAGAAAATACCTTCTTCGTTTTGGGTTACTTCCATGCCGAGAAAGTAACTTAGCTCTCCTAAGTCGGTCATTTCAAACTCATTCTTCATCTCCTCCTTGAATTGTTCAATCTCCTTTATTTTGCTTCCCGTGACTATGATGTCATCAACATATAAACTAACCACCATTATCTCCTTTGAGGTCTTCTTCACATAAAGCGCTGCATCATTGATGCTTCTCACAAAGCCATTCTTGATAAATATCCATCAATACGTCCATACCATGCCCTAGGAGCTTGCT